AATTGAATTACATTTGTAAAGATTTATACTAAAGTCACTGAGTTTTAAAACATCAAATACCACTGGTTATAAAATTTCCTTAAGGCAGATTATTTGTAATTATTATGAATGTCATAGTTTTCCTTCATTCTAAAATTCACTCTAAATCCATTTGCTTCTATAATTCACAATTATACAAAATAATATTTGATATTTTATATATATATTTCTCATGACAAATTTAGATTTTAACATGGTCAAATGGCATCTAACTGCTCAATTTGGATTCAGTCATATTCATTTATTTATACTGCTTATTCTACTATTGTCCCAAGTTATAGACAAGGTATGTTTATAATTCTGTTATCAGCAATGATAAGAAAAGAAAACCCAGAGAGTTCCAATTTAGTTTGATTCATTGGAGACAACTTAGTAAGAATCAAAATACAGAATTGAGTTTCCTGGAAGACATAGCTGAGTTTTACTTGTGTTTGTATCCATAAAATTTATTGAAATTTCTGGCATAAATAAAAGAAAAAGGTATTAATGAATCACTGAATATACAGAAAGGTAGCAAGACTGGGAAGAAAACTGACATTTATGGAATGCTTGTCAGGATATATGAAGCAGTCTACCTTTGTACACCATTTAATACTCAGAACTATCTTGTGTGGTAGGAATCACCATGCTCATCTTCAAATTAAACTCAAGTTGAGACACCTAGCAACTCACCCAAGGTCATACTGACATTCAGTGGTATAATCAGGTTTCCCATTACAGTTTGTCTCATTTCAACTTATTACCTTTCCACTACACTGTGTCTATATTTCCACTCTAAAATTTTCAGAATTAAATCATTGGACACTTTATTTAGCTTCTGGGATTTTACCCTTACTAACATCACTTGAGCAATTCACTAGTATGCAGGATTATTCTCTACACTGCAATTAACCACTTCTTATTCTTCTTCAAATTAAATTCAATATAGTACATAAAGAATTGCACATGCAATCTTGAAAACAAGTTTCTAGTTGTACTTAAAGCATTAAATACCAATATGACTTTGGGCAAATCAATAAACCTTATTACAGTTAATTCTTTTATCAAGTGAGACATAGATTAATATATCCCTAAAACCTACTTAGACAAATTAAAGCTTTTATCAGCATTTTCATGTTGTATATCCAAGTATAAATTATAGTGTGTTTTAAGTAAAACAACTTTTGTAACTTTTTCTATACTGTGTAATATGTTTCTTTTCCATTTTTAGTGTATTTCACATGCTGTGAATACTTACAAAATTAACTGATTTTATTGTTTTAACATACTTGTAACAGTAACATAAAATTTAAGGTATATTTCATTACAAAAGTCAAGAATCCTATTGTAGAATATTAGTAAAATAAAGTTATATAAAGGAAAATAATGTAGTTTAATTTACAACCTAGATGCAAACTCTATTATTTTTGTTTCCCCTTAGCTTTATTCTGAGTATATATGTCCTTTAGAACTGAATACACAGCACATTATTTTGTGTTTAGGGTATTTTTACAATATTAAAAAAAATTCTCAATCATAATATAAGTTGCGGGGATGGTAGTACAGCATGGAGAATATAGCCAATGATTCCGTAACATCTTCCAGTGTTGACAGATAGTAACTGCACTAGTTGGGATGAAGATTTAATAACATGGGTAACTGTTGAACAACTTTGGTGTATACTTGAAACCAATATGATTGTGTACAGCAGTAATTCAATAAAAAATATATGTTTGTGGGTGAAATTGCAATATTTCCAGAATTTCTCACCTGGCTTTAGTGCATCTCCTCACAGTAGGTGTTTGCAAGGAGAAAGAAGTAGTCCATCTCCATATCAATAGGTAATTACAAGGGTGAGTGAGGGCTTATCTGTACCAGAGAGGTTGGGTGGGGCCTCTTCTTCTGCAGCCAGATTGCAAGAGGCACGGGAGAGCAAAAGTGAACTGCCTGTAAGAAATAAATCGGTTTGTCCCACTTTATTTCTCCCTTTGACTGATTTTGGTTTCAAGGTATTTTGCCCTGGGATTTCCGCCCCCTAGAGTTACAATGTTCAAAGTTATCTAAAAGTATTAATTAAAATAATCATGAATGTGTGTATTTTCAGCATCTGGCTGTACCATAATATTCTCAAACATTCCAAGATGAAGAATATTTCAATGTTAATTTAAATATATACTTTAAGGGTATTTTAAATATAAAACACTGGATGAAGTAGAAACAGAGATGCTCAACACTATGGCAATCACTTATATACTACTGTTGTCACCTAAGAGCTGATCTTATTATTCCTTTAATTCTGAAGGAAAGATACAACTTTTAAATGTGGCAGTGTGAATGAGGCCTAATCCTTTTATATGGAAAGAAAAGCATAACTTATTTTCTAACAGTGCAAAAGGGAAACAATATACCTGGAAAATTCGGAAGATTACAAATTTTGGATCTGGCAAGTTGGAGAAGGATAAATGTATTAACAAAGTGATAATGAAGGTGTGAATGAGAAGGAGCATTCTGAATTGACTTCTGGAAGCTTCATCACTTTCTCTTTTTCTCATATGCTAGTATCTTACATAGGAAGTGACCTCAGTCTAAATTAAATATTTTAAAAAATATTAAAATATGATTTATCAGCATATTTAAAGATTATATCTTCTTTAATTACTTATTTTCTTTTACTTAGCTTATTCAATGATAGTTTGGGATATTTCAATCATTAGCACATGTTTATAATTTTACTTTTTAAGTATGTATCTTTGCAATTAAAAATTAAATCACTTTGGTTTGCAGTATCTAACTGGAATACTTACGACCTCCCTCCAAATACTTTGTGTAGCTTGTGAAAAAAATAGTAGTTTCCCAACACCATCCATTCATTATCATGCATCTATGATCAATCTATTCTTTCTTGTTACAGAAGGACAGTCACACACTACTGTGACCTCAGAGGGAGATAAGCATTGCTTTAGTTCACATACATACTCCTCTTTGCTCCGAAAGATAAATCTCTGCCAAGGTAAAGTAGGAAGGAAATAGGAAAGGAAGAAAAAGCCAGGAGAGAGACCCATTTTTCTTATCAATTCCATTAACAAAATACAGAGATTCAGAATCTGAAGTCAGTAGACAGTGAATCACTTCCTAGCTAACTTCATGCTCACCGAAGCTCTATGAAAGATGAACATACAAGAATTCCTTTTACTGCACATACACAGACTAGAGATGAGGGCAAGATTTCTTTCAACTTCTTGCTGAAAAATTAATGAGCATTTAGATAAGACGTCCGTTTTCTCCTCTGAGTCAAATCAAGAAGGTATTTTCTTTCACTCCTGGAGTACAAAGTTAAACTGGAACCAAATATTTACATTGGTCTCTACTTCCCCCAAACCACATCCCCCCATTCCTTATACAGAGCTCCAAAAACTCTTGTAGTTTCCTAAGTGATAAGAACACCAGGAGCATCTATTCTACTATTTGCCTTTGATCTTGTCCTTGACACAGGGCTCCTAAAACACTTGTAAATTCCGAAGTGAGAAGAACGATAGGAGCATCTTTTGTTCTATTAGGGTGACTCTGAATAGGTTCCTGGATGGCTCCTAGTGGGGCTCCTCACAAGAAAGACCAGGGTGAGATGAAGAGCTTAAGCTGTCCTTTCTATCTTCCAGGCTCCAGAGAAAGGAGTAGAGATGGAAATGAAGTTAATATTTGTTGGAAATGGAGTTAATATTTGAACATGCATACCTGAAGAATCCCCCATAAAATCCTAATAGCATGGGGTTCAAAGAGCTTCCAGGTTGATGAACACAACCACGCCAGGAGGGTGACACATTCCTGCTCCATGTGGACTAAGCTATGCACTTGGAACTGTACTTGGGACCCCCATAGACTTTACCCTATGCTTCTCTTAATCTGTGTCCTTTATCACATCTTTTATTTTATTTTGATTTTTTTTGTGTGTTTGTGTGTCTATAAACTTTCATTTTAAAGAATAATTCTAAGGGTTGGGATCACTGTGAGACAGGAGATTACATTTGATAATGGAAATAATTTATTCCACACATGCTATTGCTACTGTTCTCCACTCTGAATGCCAAGAATGCTACCTTTTTAAAATTATGGTTCAAATTGTTACATGGTTCATGTTAATTGGATAAAGAAATACTGGAATTAACACAGCAGGGCTATGGTCACCCCTAATGTTTTGAAAGAATATTTCACATTTCAAAGCTCAAAACCTTTACTGTGAAGAACAAATCCAAGAACTCTTCCTTCTCTCAACTATAGTCACTTGTTTTGCCATAAATAAACCCTTTGAAAAATAGCCATGAGTTGCATTATCCTGTATGGCAGAAAATATTCCTGGATCATCTTAGTGGCTCTAAATGATTCACTAATTTTGTATATCCTATAATGTATCTGTTGGTTGGTTTCCCTCAAGACCTTCCCACCAAACACAATACCTTCAGCTCAGTATATATACTGTCATCACAAGTTCATCCCATATTCAGATATTTCAATTACAGTGCTTATGCTGCCATTTCTGTCAGAATAATTATAAGAGGTATAAATAGTATTATATAATCTAAAACCAACTAAAAATGAAATAGACACCAAGATGCCAAAATCTTTCATGCTTGAAGGCAAATGTATTCAGTTCCTTTCCATGCAGCACATAAGGTATCTATGCTTATTTCTTTTCCAAATCAAATTTGGAACAACGTTTGAGCGTCCGTTCATCCTCTAAGGTGAACCATATTGCACCAAGTTCTGGTAAGTCGTCTTGTATGGGGGAAAGGAACATTCTTGCTGTCCTACAGTTAGTCAAGTGGGGAGTATGGTGGGAGAGAAAACTAACGTGTGTCGTCTCTTGCACTGCCATCAAGCTCACAGTGGGGTCCTATCAACTTGTACCAACAGATGCCTATAGAAGCTGGGAGGAAGGCACAGGAGAACTGGAGGAAAGACTCGGTGTCCTATGATGGTGTAAAGAGGCTGCTGGTTGGAAGAACCAGGAATAATGGAAGTGAAGTCATTCTCCTGAGGATACCATGCCAAGCAGAAAGCCTCCGAAAAACCCACCAGTCACTAGAACATTCTTCTTCACAAATGACACAATCTCCTCTGCTTTGCTTTTGATCTCCGTGGGTATCTGGCTGCTCTTCCTGATCTTCAGCTGTTCCTTGGCTTTCTTCATGTCCTGCTCTATTCGCTGCCAGTCCACTTTGATGTACCCAGTATGGTTTGCAAGCTGAAGGAGACAGAATCCACCTCCCAGAGCTGTTGCAGACAACTTTCCAACCTTCTGGAATATGAAACCTGTGCACCATCCAGTGACACCTCCAATTAACAGCTGGGTTGCCACACTGTACTTTTCGGCTGAGTCCCCGGATTCCTGCCTAAACAGCTTGCGCCACCATGGTTGCCTTTCAGCAAATTCTGCAAGGTCCAGTGACTCAAAATTTCCCTCAGAGTTTCCTTGACTGGACGCGGCCATTTCGGCGAGCTCGTCTTGCGATGACATCCGCAGGGCCGCGGCGTGGTGGGACCCTGAGTGGCGTGCTGTTGTTGCCACAAGCTGGCTTTCCTTTATCACATCTTTTAATGAGCTGGTAAATGCGTTTTTTTGAGTTCTGCAAACAATCCTAACAAATTCTAGAACCTTAGGGGGGCAGTCACTGGAACCCTCAGCTTATAGCCAGTTGGTCAGAAGCATGAGTGGTAACCTGGGCTGGTGGCAGGCATCTCCAGGGCAGTGTGGAGAGCGTGGTGCGGGACTGAGCCCTCCTCAACCTGCGGGATCCGATGCTCACTCTTGGAAATGTCAGAATTGAGTTGAATTCTCCGACACCCTGCTGGTGTCTGAGAATTACCTGTTCTTGTGCTGAAAACCCCACCCACATTTGGAGACCAGAAGTGTCAGAAGTGTCAGTGTTTTGTATGAATAGTAAAGGGGACATAACAGGGAAAAGACCTAGAGAAGGGAAGAACTGGATTTTTCTCTGTACAGGAGGTGGAAAATGGAGGTTTTGCTTTTTCAGTTCCTATAAGTGTTCATTGGTTTTATTCATTGTGAGAAGGAAAAAACAAAACAAAACAAAGAATGTCTCATTCATATAATGCTTTGAAATAACTGTTGAGTAAGAGGCTTCCAGGAACATCTGTTGAGAAGCAAGGAAAGATAGCTTTCTTGGCTTGTTATGATTTTAAAAACAGGTTCCCTTACCCTAAGCCATCTCAATTAAGTCATCTCTATGTCAGACAAGGATTTTTAAACCTTTGGTTACCAATTATCACTCCTATTAGGTACGAACCATATTTCCAAGTGTGGAATGACATAGTACCTCATATATTTTGGCAAGGACAACTCCCGGCTTAGGGAGAAAACAAAAAATTTATCTCAAAGAGACAGTTGTTATCTTTGCACATTTAGATCTTTGTGTAAATGTGCTGTTTTTAGAAGTAGCATATAAAAGGCAAATTATATACCTGTCTGATTCCTCTGATCAAGAATCTTCCAAAGCATTCTTTGTAGATGGTGATAAAGGTAGATGGTGAACACATATCTTCTTGAACCTCCTGTCAGTGGCTTTGCCAAAGCACATGAAATATGGCAGATTTACAGTGTATCAGTATATAAGTGTAAACGACCATCAGACATTTCATCTTGATGGTAGCTGGAGTAGTTGGTTACATAAATGCAACAAATGCCCTTGATAGATTTCTTAATATTAACTTAGTATCAGTATAAGCTTGGCTATATACTTTACGACTAAACCTAGAGATCTGTATGTTATACTCAGGTGAAACTTCCTATTTATACCGATTCTACTCTCTTGGATCAATATCTCTTGGATAATATCTGGATCAAATGTATTCTTAGAATGTTTATTGTTAATTTCAGCTATCAAATGCAGTGCACGGTACCTTGATATTGTTAGAAAAAAGTTAAACATATGGACAGTAACCTCTTGTTGAGCCCTTAAACCTATCTCTGGAAAAGTTTAAACACTGAAGCTAGAAAGTTAAGTGCTTCTGTTAAGTAAAAATATTTCAGCTGTGTCAACAACAATGGGAGATCAAGCTATGAATACTTAGAATTAAAAAACAAAGGTATCAGTTTGCATTCTAGGTGCTTTTGTATGTATTCATTATTTCTTATTCTGCAATTTTTAGAAAAGGAAATGAATTAAAAGGGAGATTTGAAAAAATATACGAAGGAACATAAATAGTAGAAAAAGTGATATGATGACTCTAGAGCGACAAGTATTACTAGAAGTGTCCTTACCATGCTTTACTGTGGCGTAAGAGTGAATTGGCTTTCCAATTTTGTTGAGAGTAAAGATGACGTGATGAAGTAAGTCACTGGGACTTAAGCATCCATGTACTTAAGAAAGTTTGTATCAATGGAAATATGAGGTCATTAGAGTGAGGTTTGTAGTAGTCATCAATTTACACTGGTAAGGATTGTTCATTTGTATACCCTGGGGAGAAATTGACATAAATTAAAGCATTAATACCATATTTATACAGCCTGAGTTTTTAGTCAGGATTCAGTCAAGAAAGCAGAATCACTCTGAGCATTATTTACTATGATCTGACCTTTGAAACCTGTGAGTGGAGCTTGGACAGCAAAAAGCCTGGAAGGAGAATTAGGAGATAAAAGAATTTAGTCTCTTAATTGAATAAAAGAAGTCAATATGAAAACACAAGCACTTCCACTTACAAATGTGCACCAGAGACAGAGAAACACAGGGTGAGATCTAGGAGAATCTGCTACCTATGGGTAGCTTTAATCTCTGTGGCTCCACAGTTAAGCATATGGTGGTAAACTTGGGGCTTCTGTTGGTCAACAAGGTCAGCAGTCAGAAAGAAGTGTTAAGAAGAGCTACGAGAGATGGGAGCCCACAGGTGTGTGATAATCTCCAGTCACAGCCCCTACTGCACTCCTGTTTTCCAAATCTCATGCATACTTCTCTTTTGGCCAACTCTCCTGAAAACCATATAAGGAAAAGGATTTTGGAAAACATAATCCCAGCTTAACACAAAATGTGACCAGTGCTCTAGCCCCTGAATATCAAGTTATATAAAACTAGCCTTTAGCAGAGGAAATCAAAGAGAGAGCAACTTTAAGAAATGCATGCAGAACATCACATATTCAGTAGAGGAGGTACACAACATTTTAACTTGATTAAATACAACCAATTTTGATCAAAATCTTGGTGCTTATAAAGGTATAGCTTTTGGTTGTAATTATGAAAAGGTAGCCCATAAGAACTGAGTCCAATACAGAACAGTGTAACAACAAAAACAAATTACAAATTGTTAAAGAAAAGCAGTGCTCGTAACTAGACAGAAGTGTCATGTACTTAGCAGGGAAGTATAAAGAATGAATTAACAAATGCAAGGAGACTGAGATAGGTAAAAGATACAACCAGTAGTAATAGAATCAGTAATAAAGGAAAATAGCAGCCATTAGAGTTTTAAGGAAATTAGAGCATAGGAAATCTGAGAGGTCCTGGGATTGATAAACTTTTAAGTACCACTGCCTCAGGAGAAAATTACTACTTTGGGAGGACAATTCAGATTCCAAGGACAGAATGACAAAATAGAAAACTGGAATGAGCAAGAAGTTGCCTTTAGCTATGTTTTGCTAAATACTTCATCAGTTCTTGATAAAGAGAAATGAGCAACTAAACAAGAACACTATTAATATATGATAAACATATTTATTAATTAATATACGTACTAATCTTTCAGGTAAATTATGACCATTTCTTATGGTATTGCATATTGTTTTAGAATTTGCATTTAATTCCTAAGCATAGTTTGAAGTAATCCTTTTGTTGTTAAAATAGAAATCCTTTCACACAATTGGAATCAACCACCCATTTGGAAATAACCTTGACATACTTATTGGTGATTGTTATACAACTAGCGCATTTACAGTTACTGAGCTGACTCTTAAACATGAACTGTCCATAATGGTGTCTGTCCTAGAAGACAGTCTTATATGTGGTGTTGCATAACATCAGTTGGACTTTGTCATACATTTCAAACTCTTCATGGGATTTGAAAGAAAGGGTAATTTAGATAATTTTCTTACACTTCTGATGCCTGGTAAGCAAGACCTGATATATATGAATATTTTTATCTGATTCCATATTTTTGTATTTAGCTATAAGTTTCATAGATGTGAGTAAACATAAAGGATGCATACTTGAAGATTCCTTACATTCTGTGTCTCCAACCCTTCAACCAATATTGCACCCACAAAATTCTCTGTATTAAATTATTTTTGGTTGAAATACCTGCTGTGGATTCTTGCACTGTTTCTTACATCATATCCTGACAGATACACAGGTGTCACTTACAGTCATTATTTTATCATGTATATACTGGAATACTAATGAAATGCACCAGAGGAGAAACTGAATTATTAAGTTTTAATATGATATTCATTTGTCTGGGAAAAGAAAACATGAAAACATGTTCTGTTGGATTGTGAGATTGTAACTGTACAGTAATACAGTTCAAATATTAAGTAACCTGAGATGGACTGCAGCTTGCCTTAACCTTTGTGTGATCTTGCCTCACTTGCCCCAAATCATCTGCAGTTAGACATAAGATAGGCATGTGCAAACATATTATAATTCTTCTAAGCAGCAATTATGAGGTATTTTCAATACTTACATCTGAAGTTACATAAAGGTAATATGATAGTACTTCTTACCCACATGAATAGCTTGACTCTGCAATTTTTAAAAGGGAACAAATAGGGAAAATGTTTTTATAAAAAATCAGTTATCTGTGAAAAACTAATTTATTATCTGCATTTTTCTTACTACTATACTGTTTTATTTATGTTTAATATTAATGACTCACTAATTTGATTTGATAGTCTTATTTAATTCAGAATATGGTGTCTAAACTTGTCTTATTCCCTCAATTTTCTCAGTTTAAATTAATGATATCTATGAACTAAAGGGTTCGTCTGTTCGTATCCTGAGCAATGTAGTTGATTCATCAGCAGTCTCATACACAACAGGTGATGGGCTCAGCAGTTAGTCTTGCTAAAGACCTGGCATTTATGTGTGGGAAAGCACTCGTTTTATATGAGTCCACTCTCTTTTCCTTCTCTCCTTCAGCATTGCCCCTTCCACTGCCATGTTGTGTGTCAGTATGACCAGACGTCATCCTGCCTTGACATCCTTGCTCAGCACTATATGCTCAAATTCTGGTGCTACATCAAACAAAGCAAGCTAGTTGGACCCCTGATGTAGCTCCTTCCTTTCATCGGTCTCCCCCAGATTGTATTCTTTCAGCAGTGGCCCTGTTCCAAGCAGGCTGGTCCTCTGTCTCCCGTCTGATTCCAAGCATTGCTATGTTCTCACTGTATCAAACTCACCCATCTTAGTGGTTGTTTCAGTTCTCCAGGTCTGCCTGAACCAACTTAGACCTAAGCATGGCCTCTTGGAAGCAGCACAGAGCTGGAGTGCCACATTGTTCTGC